TGCCTCTCACCCTGCAGGCATGACCCTGCCCACGACTGGGCAGGCATGACCCTGCCTCTCACCCTGCAGGCATGACCCTGCCCAGTGGGGGCTTGTATTTCTAGACGAGCCAGCAGGCCCCATGCTGAGCGCTGGGGGGTATGAGATGTAAACATCACAATCCCTGTTTTTACAGAACTCACATTTTGGGGGGGGAGGGGAGACAGAGAAGGGACATCTAGCCCTGTTTACAGAAGGTCAAAGAAGGCTTCCTGGAGGAGGTGACCTCAAGTAAGGATGGAGACTCTTTCGGAGAGGTAAATAAAGCCAGAGGGATCGGCATGATGGTTGGGACAACTGCAAGGAATTCAATATTGCTGAACCACAAAGGGCAGCGAGGCAGAGGCCAGCAAGAAAGATGCTGGGGCCAAATAGTCTAGAACCTTCCACGCCAGGGAAGGTTCTAAGGAGCCTGGTCTTTATCCTGAAGGCAGTGGGCAAAGGCAAAGAGCCTGTGAAGACTGACACAGCAGGTGGTGTGGCTAGTATTTGTAATTTGAACAAATCACTGCAGGGCAGCAAATGTATTGGGCTGCAAGACCACAGACTGCCTGGATTTCTCAATGATGCACCATCTCCCTGCTCCACATCCTGCCCCAGGCAAAATAGAGGTGCTCCATCCCAACAAACTCTCACCTTCTGCCCACTGTGGTTTTATTCTAATCTCCAAAAACTACAGCCCAGGAGTTTCAAGTAGCAGGATTTTGATCTGACTGCAGCTTTGCTCTGTCAACAGTTTTAGCAAAAACTCCTTCCACCTCTGCAGGCAATTTAGACAGCACTTCTGCAATGGTCTGTGGATAAAGGATGCTGCTGCTCTGGGAAAACGTGTCTGTCTCCTGCCAGGAAGAGACAGAGCGTGCTGAATCCGTGCCAGAGGATGCTGTCCAGAAAGGGAAGGTCACACGGCCCTCAGCAGTTCTCTCTTTTGAAGTCCAGCCTTTTTCCATTTTTACATTGGCATCGACTTCCACACGCACCCCCGCCATGCCCTTGGGGGGGACAAGGTTAAACGATGATTCTTAAGAATGTCACATACTTTACCAAAACTCCAGTATTGCCCACTGGGAAGGAAAAGACGCAGTGAAGACACAAGGGATGCCCACAGAACCGAGTGTAGACCAGAAAAGAATCCCGTGGCCTGTCCAGCAATCTCCCCCCACCATTCTTCTCAAATTCTGTGGCTAAGCATATCAAAGCCTGCCTGGCACATAATTGATGTTTAATTGATGCTTTAATTGAGAATATTAAATCTGCGATATAAACTGATATCTCAGCAGAACAATTTATCACCAGGTACAATATCCCCAATTTCGCCTTCCTGGGATATCACTAAAGAGATGGGAGATGTTATGGAAAACCTCAAGATGGGACCCCCTGAGAGCTGAGATTCTTGGCGCCACCAGGAAAGACTTTTCCTTTTCAGGAGAACGGATAGGGATGAATGGAATCAGGACCATTGTCCCTAAGAAAGGCATCCCCTGCACCCCTGCACCCCTGCACCCCTGCCCCAGTAAGGCCGCATCCCTGCCCTGAGAAATGAGAACACGGAACCCCTGCTGGAAGCCTGTCTGCTCAGACATCCACATCCTTGCCCTTTCCGTACGCACATCTGCCAAAGAACCAAGCTCCACGCTGTGCTTGGTTCAGACCCGTCAGAAGCAACTGAGATTTTTATACAGATGGAGAGGTGAACAAATCCAGCCTACAGTGGAGGGATGATTAACATCAGTGTGGACATTTCATTTCCAGCTGGTGGGTTACGCATCGCAGGTCCAGTGAGTTTGTTTGCAGCTTAGGGGAACAAATCCAAAGGCTTGTAACAAATGCACTCTTTAATATAATGTCCCTTAATGAATGTGTCTTACAAGCTGTGCAGTCACCACAACAAGCCTTGTGGTAAAAGGTTATGTTCCTGGCTAGGAACATAACCTTTTACACCTGTAATCCTAGCACTTTGGGAGGCTGAGGCAGGAGGATTGCTTGAGTACAGGAGTTCAAAACCAGCCTGAGCAATAACGAGACCCCGTCTTTACAAAAAAATTTTTTGAAAATTAGCCAGGTGCAGTGGTGTGCACCTATAGTCCCAGCTACTAGGGAGGCCTGAGGCCGGAGAATCACTTGAGCCCAGCAGGAGTTTGAGGTTGCAGTGAGCTATGATGATGCCACTGCGCTCCAGCCTGGATGACAGAGCTTTGACCTGGTGCAACTGCCCCACCCTAATCCTCTCCATACCTGGGGGAGGAGGAAATACCCTACTGAATCTGCCAATCAACTTAGCTCACCAGCTGCAAAAGAATGCAGAGGACTCTCTAGCTCACTGGCCAAGCAGCATAGGTGCCATAGAGTCTGGAAATTGACCTAGAACAACCAGAATGCCTAGTAAAACAACTCCCAACTGTCCAATCAAAGTGGTTCCATGGTGACATCTGAGCCACCAGGGAGGTCCCAGTCTGGGCAGTATAAAACAAGACGCAGACCCTAACCAAAGCCCTTTTTGCACCCTTCCTTTTGCTCTCCTTTTCCTGTGACAATGGGTCTGGTTGTCATCTGTGGCCTATGTATCATGCTCTGTAAACCTTTATCTTGCTTTTGCTCTATAATCTTATCTTTCCTCAATAAACCTCATTTTCGTGCTTGCCTTACTTTGGTGTGTCTGGTCATCCTTGACCATGAGTGCACCAAGAATCAATGTTTCAGACTGAAAGCTGACATATATATGTCTTCTTTGTATATATACATACATATATCATATATATGTTTCAGTATATTTACATTCATCAGTTCAAAGGCAGAGCCTTGTGCAGTTGCCCTGTTTTTGTTGTTGTTGTTGTTGTTGTTTTTCTGAGACAGAGTCTCACTCTGTTGCTCAGGCTAGAGTGCCGTGGTGTCAGCCTAGCTCACAGCCACCTCAAACTCCTGGGCTCAAGCGATCCTCCTGCCTCAGCCTCCCACATAGCTGGGACTACAGGCATGCACCACCATGCCCGGCTAATTTTTTCTCTATGTTTTTAGTTGGCCAATTAAGTTCTTTCTATTTTAAGTAGAGATGGGGTCTCGCTGTTGCTCAGGCTGGTTTCCAACTCCTGGCCTTGAGCGATCCTCCCACCTTGGCCTCCCAGAGTGCCAGGCGTGAGCCACCACCGAGGCCAGTTGCCCTGTTTTTATATGCAAGTTTCCTATCCTTACTCTGCACTCCACAGCATGGAACCAGAGCTGTGCTAAAGGGTGCAAAGGAGCCCTGAAACAATGAGTTAGGCTGTGCCTTTCCACGCAAGCAATGCTGTGGTCTGTGATGGGTTTCAAATCAGACAAGTGTCTCCTTGCCCTGAAGCTCAGCCAACACACAGACACGTGGCCCACACCTGCAGAAAGTTTTACATTTCTTCCAGGGCCTCTCCCCACAGCCAGCCTTCAGGTAAGGAATAGAGATGTCTGTGATTGCAGGAACATTTGAAAAATGGCAGTTCCACAAAATATACTTCCTCAGCTCAGCGATGACTTAGTCCCTTGTTAAAGAATAACTCACCAACCACATAAATCATTGTATAGACCTTGTTTGGATTCCAGTTTGAATAACTGTAAAACAAAACAGAATGATAGGGCTATCTGAATACTGACTGGAAATTAAATGATATCATGGAGTTAATGTTAATCTTTTTAGAGGTGGTAATAATGTTTTTGTTTTTTTAAAAAAAAGAGAGTTCTTTTATCTCTTAGAAATAGGTACTGAAGTATTTACAAATGAAATAATATGATATCTGGGATTTGCTTTAAAGTAATGGAGCAGGGGGTAGGACAGTTTAGGTGAAAAAATAATGGCCATTTGTTGATCATTGTTGAAGCTAGATAACAGGGTTCACTATACTATTCCACTTTTGTGTATGTTGGAAATTTTCCATTTTAAAAAAGCAAAACAAAACAAAAAATAAGTCAGTATGAATCCATTTATCAGCCATTCCTAATGGCAGGTCTGGGTAACAGGACTCTGCCATTAACAAACCCTATGACTCTGGGCAAGTTGCTCCATGTCTTGGGGCCCCAGCTCACTGATCTGTAAATTGTGGCCTTTGGGTGAATTTCTCCTGGGGTCCCAAAAAGCCCAGGAGCCTAAGGGCATTGAGGAGGGCAAGTGTAACAGCAGGAATGGCCTGGGGAAAAAAATGGGAAAAATGTTTTCTGTCTCTTTAAAACCTCACTCACTCTCTTTGGGAACTAAAACCTGCCCTGCCTCTGGCCAGTGGTCCAGAGGGGGAGGGGAGCTTCCTTTGTTCTTTGAGCCTCGGGAGTTGGCTCAGCAGAACTGTTTGGGCGAGGTCCTGGGCAGAGGTCACAGGATTGTTTTCACTGGGGATGGGACAGATCCAACTGTAGTTGAACAACAATAGCCTGGAACTGAAAACCCTCCCTTTAAAACCTCTGTATTTCTGCTTATGATTAGGAATCAGTACTCTAAGACAGGAGCCTAATTAATAAACCTCTCTTTCCTTCTAATCAAACCACTTGTCCTCGTTCTTCTGATGCGGCCTTGGGGACAAGTGCTGAGCTTTCGGTAACACAAGAACTCATCAGTCAGGGCAACATAGACTGTAATCTCAGCTTTGATATTTCCTGTATGAGACCATGAACACTACCCTTTCCAAACCTCAGTTTTCTTATCTATAAAAATGACATTCCTATCTCCTTGGTGGGAATGTTAAATAAATCAAAACATGTAAAGGGTCTGGCACGGTGGTTGACAAATATTAGTTTCCCCTCTCAATTTCTCGATTTTGCCCAGGACTGGTGATGTCCACATTCAAGATCTGCCTGAACACGCAACCCCTCCCCCTGGATGCAAAGTGCTAAGGTGCAAGACACTGCAGGCGGTGCAGGTGCGCGCACAGCGCCCTCGCGCGCCGAGCTGAGGAACCGCCCCGGGCGCCGGCCCCGCCCATCAGCTCCTGCGCCTGCGCAGAGGCGCCGCCCCCGAAGTTTGTTGTGACAGGCGTCCCTGACGCTTGTGGCGGCTGCGGCCGCGGGACCGGGCCTCTGCGCCACCATGGCGGTGCGACAGGCGCTGGGCCGGGGCCTGCAGCTCGGTCGGGCGCTGCTGCTGCGCTTCACGGCCAAGCCTGGCCCGGCCTACGGCTGGGGGCGGCCTGGCCCGGCGGCGGGCTGGGGCCGCGGAGAGCGCCGGGGCTGGGCCGCAGGACCCGGCGCGGAGCCGCGCAAGGTCGGGCTTGGGCTCCCCGACCGCTACCGCTTCTTCCGCCAGTCGGTGGCCGGGCTGGCGGCGCGGCTGCAGCGGCAGTTCGCGGTGCGTGCCCGGGGCGGCGCGGGCCCTTGCGGCCGGGCCGTCTATCTGGCCTTTGGGCTGGGGCTGGGCCTCATCGAGGAGAAGCAAGCGGAGGGCCGGCGGGCGGCCTCGGCCTGTCAGGAGATCCAGGTGAGCAGGGGCGGGGCCGGGAGTGGGGCGGGCCCTGAGCCCGGTCTGGGGGCGGGGCCGGGAGTGGGCGGGGCCTACGCCACATCTGGGGGCGGGGCTACGTGGGGAGGAGGGCGATTGTTAAAGTCTGTCTTTGGGAAATCACCAATTAAGGTTCATTTATTTCACCGTGACAGATCATCTGATATAAATCCAGCACCTCACATTTGTTACGCGGTTTCCCTTCCTCAAACAGCATGTTTTAGATGCTACGTTGCTCCAGAGGTACCATAGCAAATGGCATTGTGTAAATTTTCTAAAATGTAATGACAACTAAATCATGACACTTCTATCCCATGGGGCAGTTGTCCCCAATTTATGGAGGAAGAACCGTTCTCAGAGAGATGAAGTGACTTGCTCGAAGTCACACAGCTAATAAAGGGCAGTGTGCAAATTCTGACTCTCTGAAGCCTGTGCTCTTCACCCCTGAGCCTGCCTGCCTCCACAGTTTAGTGAAAGAATAGTCAATAAAATAGCTGAAACCACGGTAAGTATGAAAGACAAGAAAAAAACATCAGACCTTAAATTATAGTTAACTTGTGAATAGTCATCCCTAGTGACTGAATACATAGAGGTACTCAGGCTTTCTGAATGCTTAAAGTAGCACAGAGACTACTATTTCTGCTCAACCAAAGTCATATTAGTTGGGGTTCTCTAAACAGAATAAATAGGATGTGTCCAGAGAGAGAGATTTATTCTAAGGACTTGGCTCACTGTGGAGACTGGCAAGTCTAAAATCTCTGGGATACGCTGTCAGGCTGAGACCCAGGGAAGAGCCAGTATTGCAGTTCATGTCTGAAGTCTGTCTGCTGACAGACTTTCTTCTTCTTTCAGGAAGTCACTCTTTTTAAAAAAAATTTTTGTAGAGATAGGGTCTCACTGTGTTGCCCAGGCTGGTCTCAAACTCCTGGGCTAAAGTGATCCTCCCACCTCAGCTTCCCAAAGTGACAGGACTACAGGCCTGAGCCACTGTCCCCAGCCAAGGTCACTCTTTTTCCTGGGGTTTGGAACCACTCAGTACAGCCCTTGCGTTTTACAAGTTAGCACTGAGGTGGTGGAAGATGGAGTGACTTGCTCAAGGACACAGCTGTTTGGACCATGCAGTGTCTCCTGTGTTTCCTGGTTTCCAGCCCAGTTCTCTTTCCTCATCAACAGTGTCTCATGTTTGAGCTCTGTCCAGCTTGGGGTGACAGGTGTCATTTGGCCTAGTCCCTAGCCCCTGTCCTTGTCTTTTGCCACAGCTTAACTGGCAGAAAGCAAGGAAGGCAGATTTAATAAATCCTGTTTAAAACTAAAGAGGCTCTTTTTTGTTGTTTTTAACTGAGGAGATTGACCCTCCTAAGCTTAGCATTCATACACACATTAGTGTCAGGAGGACACTAAGCCATTCACAAAAAATCCACCCCCATGACCCAAACACTCCCCAGTAGGTCCTACCTCCAACATTAAGGATCAAATTTCAACACGTGGTTTGGGGGAGCAAACATCCCAGTTATTGCCTGCAGCAATGGAACATTCTGCATGTTGATTGTGATGGCTATTACACAAATCTATACTTGAGATAAAATTGCCTAGGACTACATGCACAAATGAATGCAGGTTTTAAAAAATGGTGACAACTGAGTAAGATCTATAGCTAACAGTGTACTAATGTCACTTTCCTGTTTTTGATACTGTGCTACTACTGTATAAGATGTCACCTTTGGGAAAACCTGGGTGAAGGGTACAGAAGACACTTTGTACTATTTTTTTGCAACTTCCTGTGAGTCTATGATTATTCAAAATAAAAAGTTAAAAAATTTTATCTCATTCCAGCCATGTGGGGTGGCTCATATCTGTAATCCCAGCACTTTGGGAGGCTAAAACAGGAAGATCACTTGAGGCCAGGATTTCGAGCGAGGCAGCAGTGAGTTATGTTTGCACCACCATAATCCAGCCTGGGTGACAAAGAGAGATCCTGTTTTTAAAACATATATATATACACACACACATTTCTCAAAACCATGGTTGACATGGTATTACTCTATACAATATTGCTTCTGCTCCATGGAGTTTATAAACTAGTTGACCAGGGAGGATGGATTTTCATTCTTTAAAAAAGTTCAAAGAGGCCGGGTGTGGTGGCTCACGCCTGTAATACTAGCCCTCTAGGAGACCGAGATGAGTGGATTGCTTGAGGTCAGGAGTTCAAAACCAGCCTGAGCAAGAGCGAGACCCCGTCTCTATTATAAAAACAGAAATAAATTAATTGGCCAATTAATATATATAGAAAAAATTAGCCGGGCCTGGTGGCGCATGCCTGTAATCCTAGCACTCTGGGAGGCCAAGGTGGGCGGATTGCTTGAGCCCAGGAGTTTGAGGTTGCTGTGAGCTAGGCTGACGCCACAGCACTCTAGCACGGGCAACAGAGTGAGACTGTCTCAAAAAAAAAAAAGGTTCAAAGTTCTAGTGCAAGGTATATTTGTTTATGGATACTAAGTACTTTAGGAATCCTCAGAAGGAAAGTTGCTGTGGGCTGGGTCATCGGGGCTGGTTACAGAGGAAGAAGGAGCTGGAGTATGCTTGATGGGTGAGCAGGGATGAGTGGGCAGAGCAGTACCATGGCGGTGGGGGGTGAGCAGCAGTTCAGAGAGGCATCTGAAAGGTAAGCACACACAGTGCGCAGACCAGCCTGGCAAAGCACCAGGAAGAGGTATCGAATAGCCTCCTGGGCGGTGTTGTGCACAGCAGAGTGACACATGAAAGCAGCATGGGTTAGTGTGGCTCAGAAGCAGTGAAGGGACAGCATGAGAGTGGGGGAATCTAGAGACATGCTGGTAGGCTGCTGCCAAGGGGGGTGCACATGCTGTGCCTGGTGCCCTGGGTAACTAGCCGTGGATCAGCAGGTCAGACCATTGGAGGGGGAAGACTGAGCCTGGGTGACTGGAGGTGTGACGTCACCACTGCTCTAGGTCTAGTGTTGTCCAAGAACTCTGTGCTCTGTATTCCTTCCTAACAAACAACGAGTAGTGGAGGCCCTCCATCACGTCCTGGAGGCAGAGGTGGGAGAAGGACTTACTGACTCAGCTCTGGGATACTCCCAATTCGACCCCTTGCCTGCAAAAGCTCCTGCAGGTCGTTATGTCAGCACACCCCTGATAGCCTGTTCTAGGAGCCTGTCAGCCTTAGGTCTTTGCATGAGAGGCTGTCTCCATAAATCCCAGACACCTCCAAGACTGGCGCCTGGAGAGCGAAGGCAGCCAAAGGGGTGCTGTAGCGCAGCTGCAGGACCTTCGGTAACTCAGTGCTGGCGATCACAGCTGAAGCAACAGTTTGAGAAAAATTATTCGAATGAATGAGCAGAGGCCAGGAAGGCCTGGCCCCTCAGGGATGACAGCGAAACCCATTGGTTGGCTTTTATTGGTCCTTGAATCTGGCCGGTAAGGCGCAGGTTCTCCCCTCGCTCCCTCGTTTCTTTACCTGGGCGCCTTCATGGGCGTCCCTGGTTCACAGTGCAATTCTTTTCCTTATTACAGGCAATTTTTGCCCGAGAAAGAATAGCTGGTGCCTGACCCACCTGGACACTAGGCGCATGGCAGGCTTCCGGCTGGAGGAGTATCTTGATAGGTGGCAGTCCATTGGCAAGGGCTGCAGTGGCCGCTTGTGTATGAAGCCGCCATGACCTGCGTTGCCCCAGCAGCTGGAGGTGCAAGAAGCATCGACTGCCCTCCAGGGAGAGGCCCAGATGTCATCCCTCGAGGAGAAGGACGTGCAAGCGGCAGGGGGCCCCTGTTTCCCTTAGCCTCAGATATGTTGGAACATCTCGGTAAGGCATGGGCCTTCAAGCCTTAAAGTAGGCGTTTTCTGATGCCTATCTTAGTAGGCACTGGCGAGACATTTTCGCAGGAAGTAGTTGGAAAAAGACATATTCTCCCCAGCAGGAAAGGTGCCTATGTACGTTAGGCTTTTCCCTCTCCTCTTATACAAAAGTCTAAAGCAGAATGTCTCAAACTGCATATGCCCACAGATCACCTGGGGAATCAGTTCAAGGCGACCTCCTGGTTCAGTGGGCCAGGGTGGCCTGAAGTTCTGCCTTTCAGCAAGCTCCCAGGCAATGCTGATGCTGCCTGGTTGTGAGCACACACTTTGAGTGGCAAGTGCCTAGGTCATTGGCCTTCTACCATGAGATGCAGTTACTTTAATTTCAGGTCTGCCGTTACAGCATCCGTTCCTTACTGCAGCCTGGCTTGCTGGAGAGGAGGATCCGTACTGCTTTTCCTGCACTCTTCCTCATGCCCACCCCCAGATCAAAGGCTTTGCTTATTACACCCCTTTTTCTCACCTCTTGGAAGGACTCAGGCTTTGGGAAACTGAAGAGTAATATTTCCCCACAAAAACAGAAGATTTCTGTCTATTTAGGAGAATTTCTTTACCTTGCCATTGCTGATGAGTTCAGAAATTCATCCATACCCTGATGTTCTGTCTCCGCCCAGAGCATCCACCCGAGACTGAGGATGGAAAACACCTAGCAATTCATCTGGACATCAAGAAAATGCAGTTTCTTGTTTTGGATTTGGGGAAATAAGGTTATAGACTCTTGTATTCCAAGCTGGGTTAATAACTAACAAGTAGCTTAAATCATTTGCCTGTGAAAAGATCCAATCTTTAACAATCAAATTAACTGGAGGCCAAGTGCAGTGCTCACACTATATCCCAGCACTTTTGGAGGCCAGGCGGGAGGATCACTTAAGGCCAGAAGTTCAATGCAAGACCAGCCTGGGCAACCATAGCAAGATCCTGTCTCTACAAAGAATAAAAATTACGGGCATGGTGGCACATGCCTGTAGTCCTACACCTACTTGGATGTGCCTGTTAGGCAAGAGGATTCCCTTTGTGCCCAGGATTTGAGGTTACAATGAGCTGTGATCATGCTACTGCCCTACCAGCAGTAAGGGTTAACAATGAGCTTGGATCATGCTATA